ATTATTATTATTTTTTTAAAAAAAATTTCTTTATCTAAAATGTATAATGTTTAAAACGCTTATCTTTCTTCTTCCATTTCCTGTCTAGAAGACGAGGATATAAACAATTCGATTTTAAACTCAAGATTTTGTAATGTCTAGAGAACCCTTTACTTAATACTTTCTACACTTCAAGTAGCTAATCCACAACCATGTGAAAATGTCGTCAACGATTTTCATCATTCAGAGCATAAAGAATTGGCTCTAATACGATATGTAATTAATATATCGTTCCATTAAGAGAGTGTGTGCATGAAAATCACTCGCTTAGTATAAAAATATTTTATGTATGGCAAGAGTTAGAAGTAGATGAATAACCTCAAACTTATAAGATTTAAGTTAATGTAGTGAATTATAGACAGATCTTAACGGTGACAGGAGAGGCATTGACCCCAAATATTTTTAAAATTTATATACAATTTAAAATAATTTTTTAAAACTTAATATTTATTTTTAATATATTTTATATATTGGATGTTTATATATAAAGAATTTGGAACATCTCCAATATGGTGTTGAAGACCCGAAAATGACTGTGGTTAAAAAGATTGAAAAATATTAAATACAAGTCATACTCAATTTCAACATGTAATCTATGTAGTAATTTATGCACTTCAAAGGGTGTAACTAAATTAATGTAATAATTAAAGGAGTTAATTAAATAAATAAATAAAAATCAGGATTATACACCCGAATAAAATAAAAATAAAAAAAGTAACTTTTGAGATTAAATAATAATCCAATATAAATAAGAAGTTCAAAAAGAATAGAAATCCTGATTCAGAATGTTCTGACTTGATTTCTCTTGATCTCTCTTGTTAACATTCAGAAATGTAACTAAATTTTCTTAAAAAAAATAATCAAATCTTACAACATCTTTAACAATCCCCTAACGAGTTTGAATCTCACTGTAATACACTCTAAACTACTTAAATATTCAGATACTAACCTTTTATATGAATAATAGTTTTAAATTATCTTTCACCATTCTTATACTTATGGAGTCCTGTCAACTATGAATTATACTCAAGTTTTCGATAACATAATCAATGCAATATATGTAATCGATATTTATAAATAAAATAAATTATAGTTATGAAGTGAATAATATTATAAATAATTGTTAACTAAATTTTTGTTATGAACGGAATGATTTTAAATTTGAAAAGATAGTATTACAAGAGTCAAGTGTCACTAAGTTTTTGATTTTTATAATGAAGTAATTGATCTAATTAGCCAAACGTAGTTCTTGAAATGTGAAAAAATGAAAATAGTTTTTTGTTATAAATATTATTAATTTAATGTAGAATTAGGATGATAAATTTGAAAATAAATAAACACTAAAATATTTATCTTATCTTTTTTACTATACTTATAGATTTAATTTTAAGAATTTATAAAAATAACAATACCTAATAATTTTATGAGTTTTTATTAAGGTATAGACAAAATGAAACAACACACAATGCCTGCTCTATCCCATATATAAAAGAATAATATTTTTGATTGGTCTATATTTTTGGTGTTATCATTTACGTGTTTACAATATAATAACAAATAGTTAATGTTTGTAATACAAAATTGAGATATGGTCTAATACGTTTTCTAGTTATACGAAATGCATCCAAGTTAAATTCTTAGAAGATTCTTCCACATTAGTTATTTGTGATTAGTGTAAGAGTTTGTAATTAATTAATTTAATTTAATTAATTCAAAGGCGCTTTTCTCTCTCTAAGTCGCAGCGTGTAAGCCGTACACACGTTCGTTAAAGAGATAATAGGAGTATCCTCCGTGGCGCGTGGCATTAGTTTTCCCCTACATGACGTATGATTTAGGAAAGGAAGAAGGCGTAGGATGAGAGCGTGGAGTACAATCGTTGATCTATAAGGTGTGGGAAGAAGAGGAGTTGCCCTCCCCAGTACATGAAAGGTTTGGACCAACCATTTGCTATAACTATATGTATCCAGACCTGTTATTGCAATTTTTAACACAGCCTCGGAGAAAAACCCGTCCAACCATTTCCATAATTTCCCCCCCTCAGTCACTTACCCCGGCGGCGCCACCGTCACCGCCACCGCCAACCCTCCATGACACAAACATCAGCCAAACAATACCACAATCTCTGAGACAGGAATCTTGTACAGACATATAAATTTATTGATCAATCCGAAACGTTGTTTGGTCGCTAGCGAGCGCGTGAGGGTCCGCTGCAACCATGTCGAGCATCGTCAAGGAGATCCTGGCGAGCCCGATACAAATGGCGGACCAGGTATCGAAGATGGCGGAGGAGGCCCAGAATTTCCGGCAGGAATGTCTCGAGCTCAAATCCAAAACGGAGAAGCTCGCAGGGCTCCTCCGCCAGGCCGCGAGGAACAGCAGCGACCTGTACGAGCGTCCCACGCGGCGCATCATCGACGACACCGAACAAGTCCTGGACAAGGCCCTCGTACTCGTCACCAAATGCCGCGCCAACTGTCATCAAAAGACTCTTCACCATCATCCCCGCCACAGCCTTCCGCAAGACCTCCATGCAGCTAGAGAATTCCGTCGGCGATGTCCAGTGGCTCCTCCGCGTCTCTGCCTCCGCCGACGAGCGTGACGACGAGTACCTCGGGCTTCCCCCCATCGCCGCCAACGAACCCATCCTCTGCCTCATCTGGGAACAGGTTGCCATTCTCTTGTCCGGTGCCTCCTTGGAAGATCGCTCCGACGCCGCCGCTTCATTGGTTTCGCTCGCTCGCGACAATGACCGTTACGGGAAACTGATCATCGAAGAGGGCGGCGTGGCTCCGCTGTTGAAACTTCTGAAGGAAGGACACTTGGAAGGACAGGAGAACGCTGCCAGAGCCATTGGGCTTCTCGGGAAAGACCCTGAAAGTGTGGAACACATTGTGAACGCCGGTGTTTGTTCCGTGTTTGCCAAAATCCTCAAAGATGGTCACATGAAGGTTCAAGCGGTGGTGGCCTGGGCTATTTCTGAACTCGCTGCCAATCACCCCAAATGCCAGGATCATTTTTCCCAGAACAATGCCATACGCTTGCTCGTTAGCCATCTCGCCTTCGAGACCATTCAAGAGCATAGCAAGTACGCTATTGCCAACAAGACCAGGTCCATTCACACCTTAGTTTTGGAGAGTAATACACCGAACGCGCATGAATACGAAGATGATAAGAACGTTGACCTTCGTCCAACGGGGACGAATACATCTACTCAGATGCACAACGTGGTTTCGAACACCATGGCAATGAAGGGCATTGCCCAAAAAAATAATGCCACTGCCACTGCCACTGCCACAGCCACGGCTGGGACACCGCACAGCAGCGGCGCTACAAACGCGAAAAAACATCACGGTGGGACACCGCACGTGTCAATTGCTGGGACGAGTATCAAGGGGAGGGAATACGAAGACCCCATCACAAAGGCAGAGATGAAGGCGATGGCAGCCAGAGCCTTATGGCAACTGGCGAGGGGTAACTTGAGTGTGTGTAGGAGCATAACAGAGTCAAGGGCTCTTCTGTGTTTCGCGGTTTTGCTGGAAAAGGGTCCCGAAGACGTGCAATCTTATTCTGCGATGGCGTTGATGGAAATAACGGCCGTGTCGGAGCAACATGCAGAGCTGAGACGCTCTGCATTCAAACCCACCGCCCCTGCTGCAAAGGCTGTTCTGGATCAGCTTCTTAGAGTGATAGAAAACGAACAAGATGACCTGCTCATACCTTGCATAAGATCCGTTGGTAATTTGGCAAGAACTTTCAGAGCCACGGAAACAAGACTGGTTGGGCCATTGGTGAGGCTCCTTGACGAAAGAGAAGCTCATGTTAGCACGGAAGCGGCAATTGCGCTGAACAAATTTGCATGCACAGAAAACTACCTCCACGAGAACCACTGCAACGCCATCATAGAGGCTGGGGGCGCCAAGCACTTGATTCAACTGGTTTACTTTGGGGAGCAAATGGTTCAGATTCCTTCCGTCACTCTCCTTTGTTACATAGCGCTCCACGTCCCCAAGAGCGAGACGCTGGCGCAAGAAGAGGTTCTCATAGTTCTGGAGTGGTGCACCAAGCAGGCACATCTCGTGGAGGAACACAGCATCATTCAACTGCTACCAGAAGCCAAGAGTAGACTCGAACTCTATCAATCAAGAGGAAGAGGATTCCGTTGAACTATCAAACATATATATACCTACCTACCTGCTCAACCATGAAATCTGTAACTCCATTCCGTCTTCTTTTACTTTTACGGATTGCATGAGTTTATGTATATATTCCAGGCTGCTTGCCCCTCAAATTAATCTAGGCACATCGTCTTTTTGTATCCAATATTAGAATATATCTCTATAGAAAAGCTTCTTCTGTGTTCTTTTTCAAAAACAACTTCTCAACAATTTTTTCTCTTCACTTTATAATTCATCACACTCTGCCTTACCAATCCTTCGCTGTTTATTCAGGACCGTGAAGGATGGATTAAGGAGGGAGGACAGATTTTCAGATTTCTTCATAAACTAAAAGAAGGAAGATTTCTTTCATTGAAAAGTTCATATTGTGTCGTGTAGATTTTTTTCTATAATCAGAATTTTGAAATATCTAATCTAATTTGTGTTATCGATACTCGTATGCTCGGGTAAACTGTGTGTATGTGTACGTGGGACGTCTGTGTTTCGAGACCCTTGCTTCCAGATACATGGTTTTTATTAAACTTAAAGTGATTTGAACTTAATATATATATATATATAAATATATATATATATATATATATATATATATATGCCATATATCTCTATAGAAACAATTAGAACAAAAATTTATGTATATGTATATATATTTATTTATGTGTTTGTTTGAGTCAGTGTGTAATTCGTTTCAAAGTTCGTATCAGGTGAGAATATTTTGTCTAAAGTTTTGAAAAAGAAACGGTACAATTATATAACATATTTGATAATTGGATGACAGAATGAAAGACCTGTAAGAAACTGTTTTTCAGTTATAATTTCGATTTATTTTGCACACGCGTCTGACAGACATTCTGGAAAACATCCTCACAATTCACAGTTCACAATTCAGAATCGAATCTATTCACAGGACAAGAGCAGATTGATGAAACTATATATAATAATGTACAGATAAAATAAAAAAGAAATCGAGAAAGAAAAGCATGACTGACAGGCATGAAACAGGTGAGTTCAGGCTTTGCCTTCGACCCTTGCATGAGTGAGTCCGACGCAGGCATCAACAAAATCCTCCTCGATGAAATCGGTGGAGAGAACCTGAAGCCTATCAGCGATGCCTTTAGCGAAGCACTGAGCGATGAAGAGCCTGGCGTACCCATGAATCCGTCGTGTAACGGGTTTCACGCACAGAACAGGGTTATCGGCCACCGGCGTAACGGTGTTCTCCACCCTGTAGAAGTACTTGCGCGACGTCACGCCTGGGTGCTCAGTCAAGTGCTTTAAATTAGCGTCGAACTTCGTGGAAGGGAGATCCGTGTTCACCCAATTATCCTTCAGAAAGCCCGCACTCCACAGAGGACTCCCTGCTTTGGGCTGGGCCGATTTTCTGGGCTTCCACACGCAAATAACTCTCCTCGGCAACACCTCCGCTATGGTCTTCCCGAAAACGCCCTCGTCCTGAGGGATCAGAAACTCCCCCAACTGCTCCTCCAAGTACTTATCGAATTCGGGTGGGTCCTCGTGCCCGTACTCTGTTCTGATCTCCAGGATGATCACCTCGGACTGTGTCTCAGACAGGAACTTCTTCACGTCGTTCAGGACCACGTCCACGCTGTAGGTGACCAGGATGCCATGGCAGATGCGACGGTTTTCTTCGACCCGAATGTCAAGGACGCGGGTACCAAGGACCAACTGCCGGTATATGGAGAGCGATTGACACTGGGCGAAAGGGCGAGTGACGAGGGGGATGCCGATTTTGTTGGTGGCAGAGTCGTGCGTCCCCGGCCACACGATCTGGTTGATGCGTAGTTTCTCTGGGTTCAGACCAGACATCCAGTTTTTCCTGTCTTGAGGACGGTACTCAGAGCCAGGGTACTCTTCTCCGGACGTTTTCAGATCGGAGAGAACTTTCTTCTCTGTGTGAATTGTCTTTCTCCGTTCCATCTGCTTAGACACCTGAGAACCCATATTCACTGCACTGCCACCCACCGCAACAACCACCACACAACTTTTATCTTCGTTTCTTGACACACCTTTGCCTAGCCCCACTTGCTTCTTCACCACTATACTCAACTAACCACGTTAGGTGATGACCGTATATATATAAACTCTGCAAAACAAAACTACAACCAGGTTGTTTTCCCAACCGGTAAAAATAAGTTTTTGTTGTTTCCAAAATTCCTTTGTTCTTACATGCACCTCTGTTTTTCGTTACTCCTTTGTTATTACATGCACCTCTGTTTTTCGTTAGTAGCTTTTTTCTAAATAGAAATTTAGTTTAATGTTTTTGGTCACTACTATGTTCTCAACCATTTGTCCTTCAAAAATAATAATCACCTATATAAATAAAGTTAATACCACCTTAAAGGTTCTGACTTGTGTACTCATTCTTTTTTGTAATTAAAGATTTTGATGCAACTGCTTTATGGCCAATAATTAATTAAACAGTTATTTTGATAACTTTTAATTACTTAATTAAACAGTAGGATTATCAATTTCGCAATTCAGATTTTGTTATCAAAATCCTTAAATACTGTGTGCAGGAGTTGTTTTATTTATGATAAGATTATATATAGTACGATAAAAGCTATGCAGCTTATACTAAAAAAAAATTAAAAAAATAAAAACATTATTTTAGTGTTTGAAATTACAAAATTATTTTTTACACGAGATGAAGTAATAAATATCATTTTTGAATAAAATACAGAAAACACGTTTTCTTCTTCTTTCTGAAGTGGACACTCTGACAGCTGTCGGCAAAGTTGGTAGGGAGATGGATCACCCATTTAAGCTAACATCCACTTAAATTTGCATTATAAAAAAATCATCCACGTAATTCATTTCTACTATACATTTTAATTTTCTGTAAACCATATGTATCTGAAAATTATCGGATTAAACTAGTCACGTCATATATCCCAAAAATACACTAAGATTTTTTAATATAAATTTACAGCACAATAATTTATTTAATTAATTCAACAATATATAATTAATACAAACAATAAATATTGAATTTCTATTTAAACTAAATTTAGTAATACAAGTTATAAGCAGTGATTTTACTAAATTTTAAGTGTGACAAAATATAAGATGATTAAAAAGTTCTTATATGTATTCTTGATAGTTAGAATATAAGATAAGATTTATTTGTAAAAGATTGTTATTAAAAAAGTTTAGATCACTTTGAATAAAAGATAACATACATTTCATAATGAATTACTATATATATTTATAGAATTTTAGATTTGTGACTCATGATAAAATTGATAATATAAAAAAATATTAATTATTATCAACAAATATTTTATCTAATTTATCAAATATTATGTAAATATATAATATTAAAAAATATCATGAAACACAACCATTTAATAATATATAAAAATATTGTCACTAATAATACTATCTTAAAATATTTTTGATCAGGTGAGATTAATTTGATGAGTCTTACAAATAGTTTTCAAAATTGTGGTATAAAAATAATACTCAAGATAAAAAATGTCATACCAACAATACTAGAGTGACCGCATCAACAAACTCTTGTCCAAATATTAAGCATAATAAAAAATATTAACAATGTTTTTGAAGATCATTTACTTTTTGGGTTCCGTGTTGGATTTATCAATAAATTGTATTGTAAATTTGATAATTATAAGAAAAACAACGAGCATTAAAATCAATTATTTTAATTTGTTTTGGTGTTATTTTAAGTCACACAAAAGAAAGTCTGGATGAATGGGATTTTTTTTAATCAATTATTAACCAAAAGGGTCGAGAATAGGACAAAGGTTATGAAATTATGATATGATGACTTGGTAAAATTTTATGTGGTTTATATCTTAAGAACATGTTTTGGAGTGAAAATGGGTGGTGAGTGTTCTGATTGGTCCACTTGTAATGATCGTCTTATCCAAAGCTGTCTTCATCTTTGTTTTTAGTTTATTTGTGAAATTGTTGCAACACATTAAGGAGCAGTTGAAAGAGACCATATGTCCATACATAAGTTAGACACATGGACAGCATAGAAATCATCTTCTAGGTTGCTCTTACAATAAACTGAAACCTCAAACTTCACATCCTTATGGCAGCTTTTTTGTCGTAAACCATTGATTTCGTGGTGCCAATAATTCCTTGGCATGTATCTTCTCCACCTTCATTAAAGCGTGTTTTGGCCCTCACTGGCACCCACCACATGAATAAGTTTGTAAGTTTATAACAGGTTTTTCACTTCAATATGATTTAATAATATTACACATTTTTAAAGAAAAAAATTTACTATTAAAAGTATGCCAGAATTACTTACCCAGGAAATATGAAACAAGGGTAAATTTTTACCAATTAATTATTTATTTAAGTAGCACTCACTTCAAATCCTTCCAACAATAAACAATACTTTGTATTTGTTTGTAGAAAATAAACTTGTGAGGTAAGATTTTGTGAAAGCCAAACATCACAAAAATAAATAAATCTCTACCTTTGATTTTGAAAGGAAAATTTAGAAGAAAATGACTTGTTTTTTTGGGACTCACTATAAAACATTTTCTCTCACACTGTAACTCGAGGAAAACTATCTCTCTCTCTTAATGTATTCTTTTTACTTAGAAAAACTATGACATGTTTTTTTAAATAATAAATAAGTCTTTGTTAGGAAAAAAAATTAGATTAAAATAAGTCTTTTGTCAATTATTGTGTATTTGTTTCATTCTTTGTGTATTTCAGCGTAAATTTACATTGTTTGTAGTTTGTGTACTTATTATTTCTCCATTTATCAAATATCATTGGTTTTAAAATAAATTTGAATTTGTAAATAGAAATGTTAAACATAAAATGGTTCAACTATTCATATTTTAAGTAAAATTTTAATTTACATTAATTTTAGATTTTCTAAATCACATAAACAAGGAGATGTTAATTTTGTTGATGATTGAACTAGCAACAAAAATCTATTTGTACAACAGATTTGAAAATCTTAAAAATACATAATAATTTCGAAAAATGGAGACAACCACGTAGAAATCAAAGATCTTAACATTGATTAGTTGAACAAATAAGAAATTTGTATAATACATGCTATTTGGCTTTAAATAATTACAAACATTATTCATAGAATATAATCTCATGTTAAATACTATTTAGGACATAACACATTTTATTCTATCTAAGTGTAAATAATTATTAGAACATCATAAGATACTCTATCGTAAAATCTTATATTTAAGACATATATTAAATTCACCATACATGTCGACAACAATATTACCACATTAATCAAACACAATGATGATAATAAACATCCATAAAATCTCTTATAAATTCATCTTAAACAAGCAAAGAAGAAAATAAATCCAATACACACTAGTGCTATAAGTGATGCGTAGTGTCAAACTTTTCGCAATAGGTGGATTCAAGGACAGATTCATGCTCAATGTTATTTTTCTTGCAAAACTAGGCGCTCAAAGATGCAATTTCTGATGCTCAACTGTTATGGTGCTCAACGATCTAGGGCCGAAATGCTTCTAAACATGTAGTGAAAGATTACATTCATTAGTGTCCCGCCACCATTCAACGCAAAGCATTAGCAAACCTAAACACTCAGCGACACTTTTTGTGCTCAACTTGAAGCTGAAATGCTTCCAGACGAATCTAATGCTCAATGCTCGTACAACACCGCCCAATACTATATTAGATATCACAAGCATAATTTTACTTTTAAAGAGGACTAATACCTATCAGATATCAAAAAACATAATTTGTACTTTTTAAAAGGATGATTGACCAAATGGATACTCTTTTTCTCATTAATTCAAAACAGTTTTAGGCATAAAAACTTGTACCACTCGACCAATTGCTCGTATTATAACTCTTTTAAACACATAAAATAAGATATTTTATGTAACCTTGTTTTTCTAATAATAACTTTAATTTTTTATAATACAGATTACTACTATTAATAAATTAACACATAATAATAACTTATTTAACAGTCACTTTTGTTAGACATACATAATTTTTTTTTTCTAAAATAAAATGAATATTTTTATAGATAATATATTTGGCTGATTAAATATTATATGTTTTAATAATATTTAATTTAATAAAACATTAATCGAAATAATTATCTCTCTCTCTCTATATAAAAGAAATAAAATTAGCCGTGCTATTGAAATTAAGAAGAAAGAGAGGGAAAGAAGTGAGGAAAGCGAAAGCAGACAGAGAGTATGGATGCTCATGGACAATGGCTGTTGGAGTTTCTTCTTCGGAGCCCAGACACAGAGAATAAAGATAACCTAATAAAAGATGTGCTTCGAATGATCTCTGTTTCTGATCTTGATTTCCGTATCAAGAAGATCTTTCTTCTCAAAACTCTTCAAAACGACTTCTCTTCTCATTCTATCACCGAAACCCTTCTCAAAACCCTCGAGCTCCTTGAGGAAGTCTTTCGCTGCGATGCCTCTCCGGTCACTGCCACCATGAGTGCCGCCTACTGCGCCGTGGCGGTGGAATGCACAATCAAGTATCTGCAAGTGAATCTTTACAACCACAATGCCCCCTACCTCCGAGCCGTGAACAGGATATGGCAACTTAGGATTCCGCAGATGATCGGTTCCGGTTCCAGAGAGGGGAGCCTTCTGTTCTCAGTGGAGTTGGAGCAGTGGAGAAAGGACATTGAAACTTCACTTTTGGATTTACAAGTGAGGGAGCGGTTGGCCTCCATAGATACCAGAAGGGATGCCATCATAAAGTTCAGGGCCTTTTTGGAGGAAGCCTGGACCGTTATGGACTCTTCTTTTGTTCCGTTAGCAGCTACTGAACACAAACTAAACCAAGAAGGAGGTCTGTTTCGTTAAATTGTAATCATCCCAAATCATTTTTTATCATCTGAGATATTTTTTTGATTTAATATTTTGAGAAGATAGTATGTGTCATGTGATGAATAACATTGTTCTGTGTCATAATTACTAACTTATTTGTCATACCTATAATTTAAACACATACTAACTGTTATTGGTTTGATTTTATGGTCATAGTAATTAGAATTTAAATTCGGTGATATTTTCATGGTGTCCAACAGAAGTTCAGAAGTGTAGCATTGTTGCAGCTGAGAATTTGCATTTACCAAAAACTATTGAAGTTGAAAAGATTGGGGATTGCATTTCTGAGGAGCTGTTGGCTAAGGATTCTTTAGCAAAAATTGTTGAAGTTGAAAAGGTTAGGGATTGTATTTCTGGGGAGTTGCAAGACATGGCTAAGAATTCTTTACCAACAACGGTTGAAGTTGAAAAGGTTGGGGATTGCATTTCTGGGGAGGTGCAAGCCTTGGCTAAGGATACTTTAACAACAACTATGGAAGATAATGAGGATGCAAGGCAGACTGTAGAGGCAGATGTATCTTGTCCACAAGATATAAATGATAATGAGGCTGATCCTGTGGAAAAGGGTCAAGCTTCTATCCCCAGTAATTGTGAACAAAGGCCTAATTTGATGGAAAAGAATAGTACGGCACGTGTTGATGAGGTAATTGTGTTTTTTTTCTATTATAATTTCTTATTATGATGACAGATTCCTTTTGACTCTTTAGAAAAGACTGAATGTTTATTTATAGGGATGACAATCCAATATCTTTCTTTAACGCCTCTTTCTCCTTTTATAATTTTTATGTTGTTCATTCTTTTCTGAATGTCTTCAAAAAATGTGCAATTAAACTGTGCAATCAAAGGTAATTGTGTTCATTCTCTTTTGCAGTGGGATTCTATAGATGGTCTGGAGGGTGTAAGTAGATTCAATTTGCCTAGTCCCAAGAGGAGAAAACTTCCTCCATTAGAGACTTATAAACCAACCGACATTACAAAGAGGAGAAAAGCAAAAAGGTGGAGTCAGTTAGAAGAGGAGACACTTAAGAATGGCGTAGAGAAGTATGTGCTTGTTCTAAACTAGAAAAATTTGTGAATTTTGATTACCCAAGTTTTATCTTGATATGCTGTTTTACCATTGCAACAGTGATACCCTTCTTCTTTATTTGAGAATATAAGTAGAATTAATTACCATTTGAATACGACTTCCCAACCTCATTATATTTATTTCACATGTAAAGGTTTGGCAAGGGAAATTGGAAGTTAATCCTAAATGCTCACCAAGATATATTTGAGGAGAGAACGGAAGTAAGATTGATAAGAAGTTGTTGATATATACTTGCTTTTTTAATTTATGCATTTGATATTGATCTAATTATTTTTGTCAGGTTGATTTGAAGGACAAATGGAGGAATATGACGCGGTATGGGTTTGCAAATAAATCGTAAAGGTGGAATTTATTTTGATTAAAACTGAATGACATTGTAACTAAATCAGACAAAATCATAAGAAAATTAGTCAATAGGCTTTTAGAATTATTAACTTTTGGAGAAAAACTGTAGTTAGAATTATTAGCTTTTGAAAAAGGAATTGTAGTTATTAGCTTTTGAAGAAGGAATTGTAGTTATTAGCTTTTGGAGAAGTAAGTGTAGTTATTATTAGTTTTTGGAGAAGGAAGTCTAGTTTGTAAAAATTAAGAAGAATGTGGTGTTGCTACGGTTTTTTTCATTCCTAAAGCAAAGCTTCTTTCAAATTTTAAATGTTTAAGCAGCTTGATTAGTTGAAACTTTTATCATTAACTAAAGTTAGTAGGTCCAATAAAAATATGTAATTTTAATTACGCAAGGTGTTTAATATTTTATATTTAATATGTATCTTATATTTTATAATGCTAGGTGTTTCTAATAAAATGTTGATTAGAATATTTAACAGCACAGAATCATTAATAGTCAATTAGGAATGTGATTAATGCTTTTATGGTAATAGAAACGGAAAGAAACTTACTGACAAATAGCATTTGCTTGGGAAAGGCATGTCATGTTTATTCATTGATTAGAGAAGTTCTCATCCAAACAGTGCTGGCCGAAAGAACCCCAGTTCAAAGTACTTAAATTCATACATTAGTTCAGTTTTTCCTCGAGTGGTGCTTTTAGATTCTTGTAAGTAGTAACAATATCCTAAAGAAATGCGTCCCATTACCAGTGCCTATGCAGGTAAAAAACCATACAACACCAAGCTGCATATATAGAATAAAGATTAAGACAATCTATTGAAGAGTATTCAATTTTCTATCCTGCATTTTTGAATTTTTTTTTGGGGGTTAAGAAGGTTTTTATCAAAAGTTGTAAGAGAACCTTTGAAATAAAACTGATTATTCCCTCAAAACAATCCTTTTCGATCGCTATATAGGAAGAAGCCTATAAATTAATTGCAAGTGGTGAATTTGCAAGTGACATTCCCAGCACCAGAATTGGCCCTCTTGAAGTGTAGAGCAGTAAGAAGGACTCTCCTGGTTGAACCCATCAAAGCCAAATTCATGTGTTGAACCACCCCAATAGGATGATAAGAGAATTGAAAGCTATTATAGGAGTTAAGAAGTGCAGTGATCCCTTCTCTGAGAAGTGTCCTGTAAGGATCTCCTTTCCCTTGCAACCCATGCCACAGTGTAATGTCTGTTCCATATCTCCTTGCCGCAACCATTCCAAAAGCCACTGCTACTTTAGTGTCCCGGTTCACACCCCTCCAGTAGCATTTGTATTCTGACATTGTCCACTTCCTGACAATTTAGACAATTTAGAAAATTATCAATGTCCTTGGATATTGTAATCAAACTTGTTTGTGAAAGTCCTGATTTTGTACGTGGAACCAATTGAACTTAGTTACTGACAAGTAGTATAAGATTGTGATTTTTCAGAACGACTACATAAATGTATATTAGACACAGGTAGAGCTTGCTAAGTTCTCCCATGTCCCTTTTCTTGACTTAAATAGTGACATTGCTACTTAAATTTGCGTTAAAAAATGCATATCGGCACATGGTGAGGGTTGTTTTCATTAGTCCTACCTATACGTACATGGAAAGTTTACTCATGCTTTAATCGAATAGGCAGGTGATTCAATTAGCTTCAACAAGTATTAATGAATATCGGTATGAGCTACTGCATTAAACTGATTAACCCTGTTTAGTCAAGAATAAACTTACTCTGATGGACATGCCGAAGCTTCTGCAAAGATCACTGGTGGTAGGGGTGGTAATGATGGTAGCGGTGGTAGTGAGGGTAATGGAGGGAATTCTGGTAGTGGAGGTAGCTTGAAATGTGGAGTAGAATTGGGTGGTGTGACTGGTGCTGGCACTGGGTTGGAAGATCTCGAGCAGTACTGCATTGGCTGTGAAGGCTGAGCAAGGAGAGAATCCACCGTATACATCTCCATGTCAAACATCCTAAACATGAGTTTGGGATTTTGAGAAGGACCAGCTCCTTCACCACAACCCATTGACCCTTGCCCACTTCCTGAGACACGGGCAGAACAGCCACTCAAGTCCGGTGCACCATCAAACCTCATCGTATAGCTTCCAAACCAATTGGTTGTTTCTTCTCTTGACATTATAATTTGTCCATTACTGTCAACACAGGACAGAGTTACTTTTGCACCTGCAGCAAGCAAGAGGGTGCAAAAGAAATTTAAGAATATTGATCTTTATAAGTAATCAGATTTATGGTTACACATTATTTATTGAACATGTAAATTACCAGCTGGCCACCTGTAATATTTTCAAACTTCATTTATTGAAAGAATAAAGGGTTGACTTGTCCATGCTTTTTATCCGAAGCAGGAACAAAAAAAAACTTTCACCTCACAAGATGTTAGCATGGGAGATAAAAAGTAGAGACATGTACTTGGTTTATTACTCTGTTCCACAAATTTAATAAAGAGAACAAATAATAAATGATGTGATGACAACATTTAGATATACAAAAACACAGCTGTATATAAATCATTATATGAGTAGATATATAATCTCAAAACAATTTGGCATGAACTGTGAATTACAAATGAATCTTATGAAGCTTTTTAATATATTTAACCATTCTAAAGTTAATGAAATTATCATGTATGGCACTTGGTTGAATATCAGTCTAATAGAAGTATTCTCTTATTAGAGTTTGAGACTATAGTGATTCTTTAAACTAAATCATCAACACAGACAAGAACAAAATGTGGAAGGACTTAGATCTGACTCACCATTGAGAGGATAATCGAAAAGGGATCTCTGTCCGTCTTTGCATTGGTCACAAAAGACAGTGCCAGTGACCATAGTGTCTGCCTGCGTTTCATGAATGGCCGCTGCAAGAATGACAAATGCTGCTAAGAAAAGCTTCCCTTGTGAGTCCATGAATGCTGGAATGGAAGCCCACTAAGCAAAAAGCAAGGAAGAAAGAAATGGATATGGAATGGTGTGATCAGAGTGCGAGGAACACTTAAATAGTTGAATTAAAGTGAGGAAAAAAGTGAAAGAGCAGTAAATGATCTCTCATTTCTGAGTTCCAACTCTCAACTGTTACATTTAATGCTGTACCATATATCGTTTTTCAAATGGGATTCAAACCATGTAGCGTGGTACGATACGACATTCATTAATGGTGGATCGCTAGCTAGTATCAAAATAGAACCATGCACAGTATATAAGCATGTTACGCTAATGTCCGTAATAAATCACCATTCCGAGGACTTTAAGAATGGTTTTTGCCACAGAAAATCAACTTTTTATCAGAATAAAAATCAACGTTGTCAATGAAAGAAAAATATTTACGAATTTACGGAGCAAAATTGTTCTTGCAGAGGATACTATTATGACTGATCAGGTAAAATCTTCACTTCAAGAGTCAAACAAAAACAATTATAAATGAATGTAAAAAAATTATGTATGTGAAAAGTATAATTTTTCTTATTATAAATTTCTCGATATCCATGGAACAGGAGAATTTAAGTCTAAGTAATGTAGTACAGCGAAGACGCAAATCTTCAGAGATTTAATTGATGGGTGGAGGTGTTCTGTTCCCTCAGGAGCGGAAATTATGGAAGGAAACGTGCAAGATTATGACATCCTGGGACCGAATTATAAATTTAAAATCTGTATCTTACAAAACATGTTGATTACAAGTTGTAATGATAATTTGTATAGCCGTTGGCATAGCAGTGATGAGTATTTAGTGAGCCGTGAAGGTAGCCACCACAATTAATGAAGAGAGTCCAAAGTGTCGGAAAAATAAGCTCCCTAGTGTGTGAGTGTGAACTGTATCTGCTTCAAATTGTAGAAATTTTTTTCTCCTTTCCAACCACAATTTCACATGTCAAAGCCTCGATTTATTACTTCCACACTACTCTTCAAATTCATTCATTCATTATGTGCTGCAAATAGATGGATCTATTTTTGAGCCAAAAAAATCCAACAACCATCTTTCACTCCATCATTATATCTCTTCCTCTTTAATTCCTTCTTCAGTTTTTATAATTCAAATTACCTATTTTAATTCCTGCATTGTTATCCAGTGTTGCAATGTGGCTGGCTGGCAGCAATCCTTATTTTATTTCGAAAAGGATTTGCTTAAATCACACATTGTATAAGATAGTTTCTACATTTCTTTAAACTACACAGGTTGCAAATGCTCCAAATCATGCACCCACTTGGTTGACCTTTGCATCGTTGCATTCTCTTACATTGAAAAAATCACTGTTCAATATAATCTGAACCGTGTATAATGAGGTTCAGGCGTTCATCTTCAATGCCCTTCACCAAGTCTTCACCAATGTACCATGTTAAGGACCCTGCACCAAACAGTAATGCAAAATAAACATCACCGGATCAGGTTTACACCATGCAACCAAATCACTCTGCCTGTGCTACCAAGAGAGTTCATGGATGGATGAATTATTGATACTCATAAGGTAGCAAATAGAAGCTACAACCATGAGTCTTTTGTTCCAGGAATTGGGCTCGAATATCTAAAGTTAACTAACTGTAATGCATACACTTCAAACAACAAACAGACTGATGATTAGCGATTGGGTGTGAGCAATTGCTTCACAGTAACATAACTTGTACCTCGCATGTTAGGTTGTTCTTGTTCTCTTGTGGCATGCAATAAGATTGTTCCTGAAAGGACAATGATAAATCCACATATTTCAGAGGCTATGCTGCTGGCACTCTGATCAGACCAATCCTGCACAGAATTTTTTTTTAAAAAAGATGTTCGATATAGCACCGAAGGAATCCAAAAGAATATGAAAATGTCATGATACCTTAAACATTATCACACTAGCAATAATAGTCAGAGTTGTGAACATGACATAATGTACGGGAGAGACAATGGCTGTGTTGAACGTATCCAGTGCCTGAAACACAGTTCCATATAGAAAAAATGTACAAGATTAGTCAACAGATCAAGGAAACCAAGATAAACTTTAGATGGCTGATATGCAAAGAAATATTATGACGATAAAAACAACATTAGAATTCAGTTAACCTGTCTCTGTAACTAGGTAATGAAATAATAAATCTTCGGAACAAAAGAGCCTAAAGACTAACATAGAACCATTTTTGTAAGCATTAATTTCAATTGTCTGTACAATTAAGTTTGTATCAAGTGCAAGAACTCAATTTTTCATGCACAAAAATATAAAATTCATGAGACTGATTGTTGAAATATAATTAACTAGTCAAGAGAGGTTCGATTGATTATATATTTTGCAGAAAATGATATATAACTAATATGAAAATGTGAAGCACGCAACAACCATATTCTCTGAAATTTCCACAAATATGACATTGGGAAATGGCATGAGGTACTGTCACCACTTGCCAATAATGTTAAATAGCCTTATCACGAAGTTATCTGCCAAAGATTTAGAGGGAAAAGGTTTCTGACTGCCAGAAACTTTAGAGCCTCATCATGAAGTTTCCAAAGCATGTACTATAGAGTTGCAATATTTCCATAATCAAATTAACTTTTTAGGTGCAAACAAAATTTTATAAAAATGTAAGTTGCTATAAAAGAGAGTTGACATCATTTTATCCAGGACTCACCTTGTTCAGATAGTTCAGCTGTGTGATGATACATATGACAGCCACGGTAAGAAAAAACCAAGTTTGAGGATACGTTAATTGACTTATTCCTTCTAATGTAAGCTTGATTGCAATTCCTATGGCTTTTGTGCTCATAACCTGAATAGTTTAGTCATCATATACTCAGTCTGTGCTTTACAATATAAAAATAAAGCTTGCATCACAGTGATCGGTGAAACACAAGTACCGTAAGTGAGCCCATTAATGAACAAATTCCCAAGTAGACCAGCATATTTTTCTGACCATAGCGAGGCTCAAAATGCAAAATCAAGGCTAAAATTACCGACACTGTTACCGTCATATAAACAAGAAATACTGTTGAAACAAAATAGAGATTATGAGAATCGACACTTACAGACCACAGATGAACTTAATAATACAAGAGTAACTAAAAATAAGGAAAATGGAAAGAAAACGAACAAGGTTGAGTGGCGAGATCCCATATTTCTTGTACAGAATTCAAAGCGTGCTCTTGAGGTGCATGGATAACAATGAGAACTGAACCCACGATGCAGAACACACAACCCAAAATCCCCATCTGCTGAAGCTTTTCCTTCAACAAGAAGTGGGCTAAAACAGCACTAACCCAATGCACATATGGATTGAGCGAGATTGAAGAGGAAGTCACAACGTAATAACATTAAGATTGATGACAAGAAATCTAAGGCACTGATACCTGACAATTATACTCAGTGCGCCGAGGGGAGTAACGAGAAGTGCAGGAGCATATATATAAGCCACAAAATTAGCAACCTCCCCAATAAACACTGCCATTAATAACAGTGAGTTTGGATATCCAAATAAAAACATGATAAAGCTTTAAGAATGGTAACAGTAACAATCATACTTGTAACCATGCCAGCCCACCAGAAAGGCTGTAGGAGATAAGAATAGCCTCCAACTCCTGTAGGTAAAATTACTTACATTTCACGCATACATAGCAATCAGAATGAGCATGAACAAAATTAAAATTCTAAAAAGGATGAAGACCTGCACGAGTGCCATTAGTAGCAGCTTCCTTGAGACCTTTCTTTTTCAAAATGAAGCTTGCCCCTATGAACACACCCGACGCGACAGCCAGAACCAAACCCTTTGAGTTCTCTGCAATCCCCATCAATGTCACTGTCACTGTCGCTATCCCTTCACTTGAACTCTCTTCTGATCAAAGGGGCTCACCACTTTTTCATCATTTCCTCTTGGGAAGCTTCCCGCGTCATGCTCTGCTTCGCGACAATGTATGCCTTCATTCATCCTGCAATGTATTTATGTTTAAATTAATTATTCCATCATCGTAAGTAACTGAAAATAGTCAATTTTAACTGCTCCAATGAATTTAAATAACATGATAGTTTCACGTTTGGAGGAAATACAGACAGAGGAAACCATGCATGACGGTGCTATTAATATTACGACTTCGAAGGAAACCTCCTCATTTAACGTCTTCTTTTACGTACACAACTCTATGCACGCCGAGTACAGCTACCGATATACCCAAATCCAAAGAAGCTCTTATTATAGCCCAATTCTAACCCCAACCAAGCCCAATGTGGCTTTCTTTATGCACCCCATATCCAGAAACTATCGCTTTATCTTTCATAGATGATTTCTGGATTGTGCAATGGAAAAGTTTTTTATTTTTTTCGTGGAAAATATTTTAAATTATATAATCTAATACATGAATTGGTGGTAACAGCAAAGGATAATGATGGCAACACGATGGAACCATTATATTTTATAGATCAGAATTGACATGATGGAACAATTATAATAAGTGTAGCTCAAAATGACAACCCAATAAAGGAGGGGTTCAAGTTGTCCGGTTTAATTTAATTTAATCTAATATAATTGAATATAATCGGATTGAATCTAATTTATCTTTTTAATTTAACAACCTAATTATAATTGGGTTAAGTTAGATCAAATACGTAATTTAAAAAATATTTATTTTTAAGAAAAATATTTTACAAACAGTTTTTAATGTTTTTGTTAATGATTATTAGATAATTGCAATGTTTATAACATATATATATATATATATATATATATATATATATATATATATATATATATAATGTAATATACATTTTTTTATGATATAATTAGATAAATAATTTTTTTATTATACATTTATCGTAGAATCGGATTCATTAAATTTAATATTCATTAACTCTTTGCTCAATCCAATTATGGTTAGATATAAATAAAACTCAACTCGATCTAGTTACCCATCTAATCTAATTCACACAAAAAATGAATTTGATTAGATTATATTTATCGAAGTCATGAATTGAATGCATCCAGATTATACAAACCGAAAACATAACTAAAATAATAAATTAATCCAGACTTACCACAGTTTATATATAATACGTGCGTGAGTGTTGTATTGTTTTTTTCTTAAAAAATATTTTTCCATAAATATATTTCATTCAATAACTCCAAAAACTAGTTTAATATTTGCTTCATTTTATATTTAAATTAAAATACCTTGTTTATCTAAAATTGAGAATTTACAAACAAAACACATATGTAATCTAAGTCTCTGACATACACTAAAAAACTCTCTAATTATATCTGTTGCAAGAGGCATAATTTATATTGTGATTTGGTTCAACAGAATAGTCTAAAATTCATACAAAATAAATCTAATCAACAAAACACTTGGTAATCTAAATTAAATCAAAGATCATTAAATTAATAAGTTTCCTCTCTTATTTAAAAGTTTAGACTAATTTAGATCAAACCAGATTATAAAATTATAATATAATTCTACATATGTTTTTTTAAGTTATATTATTTATTATTTATTTAAAATAATATTGCAATTTTTGCATCAAATTATTATATTTAAAACTAAATTAATTTTATTGATATAATTGAAATTATGAAATATTTTTCATTGAAATTCAATTTTTACGTTTTAAAACGTTTCAAAACAATACCTTACTAAAATACAAACACAAAGCTGGTAAATCCAAAAATTTTAAATGTTGTTCTGTGTTCCATGACAACAAAATAAAAAATAATCAATGATTTTCTGTAGAAGATAAAACCAGTGTTTTAAAATATTGTTTATGTCCTAATATAGGAATGAAGAGTTATTGCTTTGTTTAGTATTTAGCAAAAAAAAATGGAAATGATTTCATTAAGTGAAAACTACGTATATTAATAAAAATTGTAAACGTTGAACAATAATTTATTACTGTTATAGATTGTATAAGTAGCGTGGAGATTAAATAGTAACGAATAAAATATTAAAGAAAGCCGAAAATTACGTTGAAAAAGCAAAAAAGAAGTAGGAATTAAAGATTAAAAAATTATTAAACCTAACTTTATTTAACGTAGCACAGCAGTAGCATGAGTTTTATGATCGGAAGAAATACTCCGCCGTGGCAACCCTAACAGAAATACCTCAAATCACTCAACTCCAACAGACTAAAATAAAATAAGAGAAAGCAGTAAAACGACACCGTTTGCATGAGCATTAGGAGAGTTGCCCACAGTCAGCGACGACGACGGGCTTGGCGGTCTTGCCGGAGCTGGATCCAACCTTCTCGATGTCCTTCACCACGTCAAGGCCCTCCACCACCTCCCCGAACACCACGTGCTTCCCGTCCAGCCACTCCGTCTTAACGGTGCAGATGAAGAACTGAGATCCATTCGTGCCCGGTCCCGCGTTCGCCATCGATAGAATGCCTGGACCTGTGTGCTTCTTGATGAAGTTTTCGTCCGCAAACTTCGAGCCGTAAATGGACTCACCACCGGTGCCGTTCCCGGCGGTGAAGTCTCCGCCCTGGCACATGAAGTTGGGGATGACGCGGTGGAAGGCGGATCCCTTGTAGTGGAGGGGCTTGCCGCTGCGGCCTACTCCCTTCTCGCCGGTGCAGAGGGCGCGGAAGTTCTCGGCGGTGCGGGGAACGGTGTCGGCATAGAGCTCAAACACGATCCTGCCAGCGGGTTGGCCGCCGATGGTCATGTCGAAGAAGACCTTAGGGTTGGGCATTGTTGCGTTGCAATTGAATTGAGAGAGATTAAAAGTGACTTACTGGGTTAGGGAAGGGGAAGAAGTATAAATAGTGCGATGCTGTTCTATTTGGACACGTGGCTCCCTCTGAATAGGTGATCTCACTACAGTTAAGATCGGATCCATCTTATTTCTCCCTTCCTTTCTCCCACTCATAGACCAGGCACCTTCTTTTTTTCCAAATAAATACTTTTTAATATCAGTATATTTAAATTACTTTATGCCAAAAATCAGCAATTTTTTCATATACGATGATAAAAGCTTATGGGAATTTAGGAGGTCGCAAGAGCAGAAGATACAAGAACCCTGGAAAACAAGAAAAGGGACATAGTGCTTTTAGCTAATCAGATTTCATATTTTTTTAGTAGAAAAATAATATATATTTTTTAAATATGTTTCAGATTACATATGTATTTCTAAATTCAGAAATATATTAATATGGAATACAATAAAAAAAAACGTATTCTAGATGGTTCGATCCAAAAGATATTTTCGAATTGAGAATTATATTCCAAAGTGCAATAATTTTATCGTATTCCAATTATACAATCCAAAATATATTTTCTAGATCAGAAAATATATTACAAAATGGGCAAACCGCAAAAAATCCCTTAATGAGAGGCAATTTCATGTTATCATTATTCACGGTGCATGAAGTAGAAAAAAGGGTGCAGAAGGAATTTTCAATTTTTTTCTTTAAGATACAAATAACGCAAAATGAATTATGCTATTGATGAAATAGAAAATTATTCTAATATCACAAAAAGACAGTTAATTAAGAAAGTAGTAAATATTTCAATAATAACATATTGAATGCCTAAATTCATTTATTTAATTTGGTTTTTATTATATAAAGATAATTTTTTTTATAAAAGTAAATAAATTTAAAGAGTGAATAGTGAAATTATTCAAGTAATTAAATTTTATAATCAAAGAAAATATTATATTAAAATAAACACTGCAATATTAAATTATGTGATAAGAAGAGAGAAAATATTAAGTTCAAAAGAAGAAAAAATAGCTATTATTATCTAAATTAAAAGCATGAAAAAATAATAATTATAAACTATAATCAACCACCATATTTTTTTATCGGAAAATGACACTTGAACAATCATTTTTGACAACATTTAGACACGCGCACACGTGTCAAAATCTGAATGGTCCATTTTCATTTAATTTTTCCAACTGGACCACTCAGATTTTGACACGTGTGCGCGTGTCTAAATGTTGTCAAAAATGGTTATTCAAGTATCATTTTCCTTTTTTATCAATCACATTCATTTTATAAAGTTTTAACCCTCTTTTCATTTTTTTTAAGATCAATCACGTAGATTTATAAAATTTGAACTTTGTTTTCATCTTTTATCCACTCTTTCTTCAATCATCTAAACAATCTAATTTTTTATTCTTGCTTTTTTTTATTATTTTTTTATTCACTCTATCGTTTTGTATGACCCTATCTTAAACGATGACAAACATAGCTAGCTAATCCAGCATCTGAAAAATTACACTCTGCCACCGCAAATAATCATAAAGAATTATTTTAGAAGCACTTTTACAAGATTAATTAAAACAGAAATCTTTACTTATTAATTAACTCATCACATTCAAATTCATCAACAAACCAAAACATTCTCAGACAACATTGCTCAATCATTTGTTATTCTCTGCTCTCTTTCTCCATCCACGGACATGGATTTTATTTGAAAATAATCAATCCCAACGTCATTGCTAACACAAAAAATCAACTCCAAGCTAGTGCAATGATCAGTGGCCTATGAATGAGAAGGGGGCCAATTTCCGAACCATGGGTGTTGAAAGTAGTTTGGAGGTTCCATGTTGGGAATTAGAGGTGGGCACGGCTTCTTGTTGAATGGGAAAGGAGGAAATGATTTGAAAAATGGCGGCGTAGTAGGAGAGGGATCAGAAATGGGAGTGGTAGGAGGAAGAGGCCTATAAATGGGAGTGGGAGAAGAAGGTGTCTTTTCCTTTGGCGGGTATGGCTTCTTGGTAACCGGAGATGGAGAATTAGTAGGAGGTTTCTTATATGTTGGTGTTGGAGGAAGAGGTTCCTTATGGACTGGCCGCACAGGAGGAGGAAGAGGGTCTATTGGGTGGTCATCTTTGGGAGGGAAGGGGAACTCAGGGTGTTTGAAGAAATGCCAGAAGAAGGCTGAAGTGCACATAGCTGATGAGAATCTGAGTTTTCCAGCAGCAGGCTTAAGGGTGTGTGTATCTTCCGATACTGACTCAGTCACAATTTTTGAGTTTCCATGCGAAGGGCATGGTTCGGCTGATGCACTATGCAGCTGAGCGTAGCAATCTTCTTTTAGCTCACCATCTTCTACCATGTCCTGTGGAAGGGATACTTTGAAGTTTCCATGTTCATCAAGGGCACCCACCCCTCTCGTGCTGTAGTGTCCATGAGGTGACTTACAGTTTACCGCTACACGTAGTCCTACACAGGTAATGCACAGGATTCTTATATTATAGAATTAGGCTTCATAATAGCTAGTAGCATAAATAAAAGGTAAAAACCAATAGTTTATTGTATAATATATGAATGAATGGTTGAAGAATTAAACAGAGTTATATGGTTAAATGGATTTGTGAATATATAAATATATATATATATATATATATATATATATATCATTGCTATTATACTAAGCATATACTGATATATTATAAGACAAGCTACCTGAGAAAGCGTGATTAGTCTTAATGTTGTTATGGCTGCAGTCTGAGCATTCTCCTTGGCCAACTACCTGGACCGTCCTGTGGTATTCATTGCTGGAGCTTCTCACCACAAAAAACACAGACAACAGACAGAAGCAGACTAGTGGACCTTGGAGGTGGATGAAAATTTGCATTGGAAATGGAAACAAAGAACAGCAGATGAAAGAATAAGGCAGAGTTGGAAGAGATGAAAGGATGAAGCAGATTGAGATTGGAGAGCTTAATTTATAACGAATGGATGGCTTACTGACTGTGAAATTACATTAAAAATGGCTTTATTTATCATTGATGCATCGGCCCTCAACCAAATGCTTAATGCATCTTTATGAATATCTGTCTCAACCTACCAAATAGCTCCAATAAATCACTTACCACTAGTATATTTCTTTTACAACTAGATAATTTGGCTATGTTACTTTACAATGTTCAGGAGCTCTGCTAATAATGTGACATGTAATCTATTACAGTTTAACCAGAGTTTCAAAAATTTAAAAGATCACGAATTTGTATAAGGATTTTACTTATTTTTTATATTTCATTTTATAAAAAAATACAATTATAGAAATACCATTTAAAATACTATAATTGTATTAAAGATCAAATAGTCTAATTTTCACTATTACAACATGTTCATGATCTAGAAGAAAAAAATGAATACTTTCTGTATCTTCCATTGACTTGTACATTTAATAGAGTTAAGATAAACCAACATATGACCACACATGCATGTGTTACGAAAACTTATGCCAACAGACTACATTGGTTAATCTTTAACTGTGGTCGGTTTAAACCATGTGAACCGCCACATGGATTTAATTGAAGAAAAACCTAAAACACTGGAACTGTGGAGGTGCTAGCTATACTTTTTCTGCCACAATATTACATAAACACTGTAATGGTTACGATGCCATTGAATACTGAGACAAACCAGTTAATTAAGCTGTTGGTCTTAGTGAGGAAAGGAACTGTTTTGCAAAAATTGCGATACAACGTTTTATCCACACTTTGTTAATCAATAATTTAATGATGGAGTGTCAACTTTATTATCCAATTCAATGATCAAGTATTATGTAATAAAACTAAATATAGTATTATTTTTACAAGCAATAATTTTTAAGATTTGTGATTCTCACTAATTAATCACGATTCTTCTATATGTATTCAGTTATATCCCTTTTTCTATTAAAAGGTTCAAAATTCACATTTTATTTAAACAAGTCAAATTTCAATTTCACTTTAACCGTAGATTGTTAGTTTACATCACTAATTATTTTATTTTTTTTATTATAATGTTACTTACCAATGTATTAAAGTTGGTAGATAAATTTCATTAATTGTTTTTTATTTTTCATTATAGTGTTATTTATCAATGTATTAAAGTTGGTAAATAAATTTAATTTATCTCTTTAGTCAATCTTGAACAAACGGTCCAAATGATCAGTTATATGACAAATATGACCACACATTAGGTTGACATCTCTAATACTAATTAGGTTGTTATTAATTCAAAACTCAAATTTGAGATAATAAAGAAATAAGTAATAACATTTAATATGCATTAATAACTTCAATTGTCGGAGTCCTTTCTGTAAATAATCTCCTAACATATCCCACTAAAGATAAAGAATAACATGAAGACAAATATTTGGACTAGTAATAACTAAATACAATAATAAATAATTGAACTTGAACATCTAATCCTAAACGCTTTGCAAGAGAAAAAGATATAATATTATTATATTTCCAAACACAATCTTATTTAATTGTCGTTATCTTACTTAACTGTAGTTATATTTGATTATTCTAATCTAACTCAAGCTTAACATCTGCATATAGATTTCATATTTCAATTCAAAACCATAATAGAATATCGAGTGTTTATAAGAAAATATATATACACATATGGAATATAGTAAACAAAGTCTATTCTCATTTACAATAACATATACTTAAATCATTTTTTTAATTCTAAAAATATACATATAAGTGATTGTTTAAATACATAATGAAATTTTTTAATATTAAGTTGGAGAAAAGAGTCAAATGCACTTACAAAATATATAAGAAAACTCATTTATAATAACATATTTTTTAAATTGATCTCGTCGATGTTTGTATCTTGGAATGCGTGTTGAAGACCTCCAATCCTTCACACAGATACCTTGCCAAGCTAGTTGTAAATACTTGTACCACCGTAAACTTCTATGTTGGTTAAACTCAAAGAATATGCCAAACCCAACCTGATTACAGAAACATCGAAGCTATATAACCCAAGCAGGGTTTGTGCTTGTTTTGAGAGAGTCCTGGTTTGTGCATGCGCTTCTTGGTGTGGTGAGAAAATGTTCTTCCCTAAAAGAAGGGGTCCAGAATGGAAATTGGGTGGAACCATGACCAATGGTTCTGGTCTTTCAGGCCATTTGCTCACAATATTTTGTATTGTCATTGGCTTGTTGTCCTTCTCCCGTTACAAAGACTACACGGCTCAGCTTCATAGCACAGCCATCAGCTTTCAGTTGTTCCTCTTCTTGTTACCTCTCCTCCTAATATTCTTCATCGTTTCATATTCTACTACTGCCGCAACCTTCAACTTTAACGCATTCAGACCATGACTCCAACGGTAATATAATTTTCATTCTTTATGTAATTACTGAATAATAAATACAAAACTTCACATTTATGTTTTCTATATTTTATATCTTATATATACTTGTAACTCCTTTTAATATGTAACCCCTGGCTGCGGTTACCTTTGGGGAAAATGGCTAATTTAAACAACGATCAAAGTTACTTAAGAATAAAATATTTAAAAGAGGGTTTGTCATTTTCGTTTTATTGTTTCCATTCTCCAATGTCGTATGTTGACTGGCCATGGAGGAGTGACTCTTTAAAATACTTAAAAAACGCAGATTGTCTGAGGAATGTAAAGACAAAGTTTTCCTACACTCAAATGGAGAACAATATAATATGTATTCTCAAGAAACTAATGATGCCCAAGTACTTTATTTCAAAAACTAAATAGACAAATGAACAACATTTCGTTTCTTCCGCATCTTTTCAGCAGAAATACTGGAACGAGTTTTGACCACCAATAGTAAGTATCTCAAGTAACGCAAGTATGAAATGAAACCGTTCTTTAGATTAGACCAATACTGTTTTTTTTTTTAATTTATCTTTTTTTTAAATGGAAATAGATAAAAAAAATGTTTTTTTTTTCTGTGCAAGTTTACCACCATCATCATCTTTACCAAGCACCTCAACGCAATTCATGTTCATAGAGCACCATCATCTATTCATCTACTTATATATATATATACAATAATAATCAGGCTATAGCATCAACCTTTACGCTTAACAAATAATAAAGTGAAACAAAAACAGAGAAAATAAAGTGTAGAGAAACAGAGAAACTCTGAACAGAAACGAAACAAAATCAACCAAACCAGGAATCAAGAAAAGTGGACTGATAGTGCAGAAGCACGAGAACCAGGAGGATGAAAGCGGCAACACCCCAAGGAGAGGTACCCTCTGATGGAAAGTTGTGCGTGGTCCTTCTTCTCTCCCATGGCGAGGAGTTGAAAAAGAACCATTCTGAAGTATCCACAGACGATAACCAACGAACCATGAGTATTAGCAGCAGCGGTGTGGCTAAAAGCATCCACCCCAGTTGTTCTTCTGCAGCTTCAACCACTTCTTCATAGGAGAAATACCATGAAATGGCCAGGAACAAGAGGATGAGTGCTAAGATTAGTAAAACGGGGTATGGAACGGGGTTGAGAGTGAAACCGTCCAAAACAGAGGAGGCTCTGCTTCTACCATATGCCATTACAAGTGAGAATTTGTGCTGTTGAATTGATGAGTTTTTGTTCTATTTTATTTCTTGATTTATATAGCTAAACGTGAAGAAGATTGTTTGGGAAATAAAGTTGGTACTGAATGATTTGGCAGTGTGTGATTTGTGTGAGTGTCACCCATTTAAAATGAGAGTCAAAGATTAGAGTTAGTACAGAGCTAGGTAGGACATTCNAAAGATATAATATTATTATATTTCCAAACACAATCTTATTTAATTGTCGTTATCTTACTTAACTGTAGTTATATTTGATTATTCTAATCTAACTCAAGCTTAACATCTGCATATAGATTTCATATTTCAATTCAAAACCATAATAGAATATCGAGTGTTTATAAGAAAATATATATACACATATGGAATATAGTAAACAAAGTCTATTCTCATTTACAATAACATATACTTAAATCATTTTTTTAATTCTAAAAATATACATATAAGTGATTGTTTAAATACATAATGAAATTTTTTAATATTAAGTTGGAGAAAAGAGTCAAATGCACTTACAAAATATATAAGAAAACTCATTTATAATAACATATTTTTTAAATTGATCTCGTCGATGTTTGTATCTTGGAATGCGTGTTGAAGACCTCCAATCCTTCACACAGATACCTTGCCAAGCTAGTTGTAAATACTTGTACCACCGTAAACTTCTATGTTGGTTAAACTCAAAGAATATGCCAAACCCAACCTGATTACAGAAACATCGAAGCTATATAACCCAAGCAGGGTTTGTGCTTGTTTTGAGAGAGTCCTGGTTTGTGCATGCGCTTCTTGGTGTGGTGAGAAAATGTTCTTCCCTAAAAGAAGGGGTCCAGAATGGAAATTGGGTGGAACCATGACCAATGGTTCTGGTCTTTCAGGCCATTTGCTCACAATATTTTGTATTGTCATTGGCTTGTTGTCCTTCTCCCGTTACAAAGACTACACGGCTCAGCTTCATAGCACAGCCATCAGCTTTCAGTTGTTCCTCTTCTTGTTACCTCTCCTCCTAATATTCTTCATCGTTTCATATTCTACTACTGCCGCAACCTTCAACTTTAACGCATTCAGACCATGACTCCAACGGTAATATAATTTTCATTCTTTATGTAATTACTGAATAATAAATACAAAACTTCACATTTATGTTTTCTATATTTTATATCTTATATATACTTGTAACTCCTTTTAATATGTAACCCCTGGCTGCGGTTACCTTTGGGGAAAATGGCTAATTTAAACAACGATCAAAGTTACTTAAGAATAAAATATTTAAAAGAGGGTTTGTCATTTTCGTTTTATTGTTTCCATTCTCCAATGTCGTATGTTGACTGGCCATGGAGGAGTGACTCTTTAAAATACTTAAAAAACGCAGATTGTCTGAGGAATGTAAAGACAAAGTTTTCCTACACTCAAATGGAGAACAATATAATATGTATTCTCAAGAAACTAATGATGCCCAAGTACTTTATTTCAAAAACTAAATAGACAAATGAACAACATTTCGTTTCTTCCGCATCTTTTCAGCAGAAATACTGGAACGAGTTTTGACCACCAATAGTAAGTATCTCAAGTAACGCAAGTATGAAATGAAACCGTTCTTTAGATTAGACCAATACTGTTTTTTTTTTTAATTTATCTTTTTTTTAAATGGAAATAGATAAAAAAAATGTTTTTTTTTTCTGTGCAAGTTTACCACCATCATCATCTTTACCAAGCACCTCAACGCAATTCATGTTCATAGAGCACCATCATCTATTCATCTACTTATATATATATATACAATAATAATCAGGCTATAGCATCAACCTTTACGCTTAACAAATAATAAAGTGAAACAAAAACAGAGAAAATAAAGTGTAGAGAAACAGAGAAACTCTGAACAGAAACGAAACAAAATCAACCAAACCAGGAATCAAGAAAAGTGGACTGATAGTGCAGAAGCACGAGAACCAGGAGGATGAAAGCGGCAACACCCCAAGGAGAGGTACCCTCTGATGGAAAGTTGTGCGTGGTCCTTCTTCTCTCCCATGGCGAGGAGTTGAAAAAGAACCATTCTGAAGTATCCACAGACGATAACCAACGAACCATGAGTATTAGCAGCAGCGGTGTGGCTAAAAGCATCCACCCCAGTTGTTCTTCTGCAGCTTCAACCACTTCTTCATAGGAGAAATACCATGAAATGGCCAGGAACAAGAGGATGAGTGCTAAGATTAGTAAAACGGGGTATGGAACGGGGTTGAGAGTGAAACCGTCCAAAACAGAGGAGGCTCTGCTTCTACCATATGCCATTACAAGTGAGAATTTGTGCTGTTGAATTGATGAGTTTTTGTTCTATTTTATTTCTTGATTTATATAGCTAAACGTGAAGAAGATTGTTTGGGAAATAAAGTTGGTACTGAATGATTTGGCAGTGTGTGATTTGTGTGAGTGTCACCCATTTAAAATGAGAGTCAAAGATTAGAGTTAGTACAGAGCTAGGTAGGACATTCTAAAGAAGAGTAGAGTGTACTGTAAAACAAAGTTTTAGATTTTTTTTTTAAATAATGATACGATTATTTATAAAGACAAAATAGTATAAGTGAATTTTATATTTATAAAAAAAGAAAAAAAAATAATGAACGACAATTTCAAATAAATGTAAAAAAAAAGATACTTGTGTGAAAGTATTGTTTTTTTTAATAAATTGCCTTTTGAAGTGGTAGTTTACGTTGTGAATGCGTACCTGGTTGTTGCCCAATTCATTACCATTTAGGAGGGTATCCCCACCACTGAAATTAAGACACGTGTAGTTATCATGTCAAAGCTACCTATCAGAAAAAGGAAAACAAGTTATGTTTCTAATAAATTCTAATTGGACTATTAATCTAACGTGTGTAAGTGTGTTTTATTTTAATATATAAGTGGTTAAAAATAAATTAACATCATTATATAATGTTCATGAGTAGTGAGTTTGTATTTGGTTTATTATTCTTTAGTATTGAAAGCATAGGTGTTAGTGTATTTGTATTTATGTTATTTTTTTTCAATTAGTTAAACTCTAGTGTTTATATTAATTTAGTTTTACATATTTTTAGAGTGCAATTAATTTTATTTTAAAATTTAAATTTTTAAATAAGAATCACACATTAATATAAAAGGAGGTCTCACTCACTATAATTGTACTGTTATTGTAAATAAAAATAAAATATAAACATAACTTTTATATGTGAAATGGATCTCAATTAACTTTACATACTAATCACTCTTTAATTCATTTTTACGTAACCTCTTTTATTAATATTATGTTTGTCTCTTAAAACATATAGAAACACTAGGGGTTTATATATATATATAAAATTTTAAATGATTTTTTCTACAAGTATCTACTTAATTTAGTGTATTTGATATGGTAGGTTTGCATAGTGAATGTTAGTTAATTCTGAGTCACTAAACAGTGAATGCGATAGGTTATCCCACAACACAAGTAAAAAAGTATAGTATTCCAATTCTCAGCTGCAACATATCTCTATATCCCTCACAATCATATCAGTATATTATATATTCACTAATTTTTAAAAGATTTTAAATGAAAATAACAAAGAAAAAATAAAAAAAGTAAATTTATAGGAAAGAAAACAAAATTGTGGAAACAAAACGTAAAATGAATATATTTTAACAATGAAATTATATTTTAGTCAATTTAATGATATAATATTTGATAAATATATTAACTAATACTATATGAAAATATCAAATTACATTAATAACATTAATCAAATACTAAATTAATGTTTGTATTTAATTCTATTTTATTTATATACACTAGTGAAAATACATACACTATGCATATGCTTTTATTTTTTTATAATAATAAAAAATAATAAAATTATTATTGCTATTGTTTATATTATTATTATAAAATTAAATATAATTTTTTTTATAATTTCACTGCAAATAATTTTTATTACATTATAGGTAGTTTTATAATTAAAATAATTATTAAGTTTAAAAAAGTTAAATAAAAAATTTATTAAATTTTAAAAAACAATTACTTAAAGGTAAAATTGATAAAAGAATTATTTTAATTTTACAAAACTTTTATTCAAAGAGTAAAATTAGAACACAAATATAGATATTAGATTTTTTTTATGTATATATAGGTATAAATATAAATGATTTTATTTTAAATTTGATGACTTTAAAATTTCAAATTATAATGAAATACATAAATTTATAGATAACTTTTTATATATTTATTATTACCATAAATAAAAATAAACGTTATGTATGTAATATGTTATCTATGTTTATTTTATCATTTTTTTATGCAGGTAAGTGAAACAAAGTTTTTTATTCCCTCCACTGTTGCAACTTGTTTCTAATTTTTAATTAACATAGTAATTTATATTTACCCAAAAGAACACAGCCTTAGACTTTGTTGTTTTGAGGTGATTTGGGGGAGATGATTTGGGAGAGATGATTTGAATGGATTTGAGTGGATTTGAGGGCAATATTTTTGTTGTTTTTTTAGTGGATTTGTGGATAATTGAGAGTGGATTTGAGACTAAAGTTTGTGAGAATTAGTGTAAGATTTGATTGATGTGACAGATTTAAAAAATTTGTTTAATTGATAGAAATTAAAGATTACCAAAATGTCCCTAGTTATTAAAGTAATATAAAATGATATTTGTTAATGTTATATTTAATTGTAAAACATGTTTATAAAAAGTAAAAAATTAAAAATAATTAATAAAATTATTTTTAAAATGTAAAAAAATTAATAATTATTTAAACAATACCATATTTTAGCTTAGTATAATTTTAAGATTAAAAAATTAAAATATACTTTTATTTTGATGATAAAAGTTTAAATAGAAAACCTATACTTTAAAATAATATTGTTTATTTAATTAAATAAAGTTATTTTTTCTTAATATAATTTTAAAATAAGTAGTTATGTCTTATATTTGACACAAAAAGCGCTTCAGTGGAATCCAACACTGCACTTAAGAATTCAATACACTTTCAAACGTTAATATTATCGTTTTTTTATATTATGCAGGATTGCACATTGTCTTGAAATTTTTAATAATGATACAAGGCATATAAGTCATTTACTCATAAATCAGTAAAAATCCTTTCGAAATGGAGAGATGGTCTGAAGAGTGAAATTTGTGCAAATCATCGCTTTTTTATCGTTGCATATCAACACAAACGAACACAATTTTTTCGTAAATCCATCTTCCCTAATTCGCGTAAACAAAAAATTCCTTTCATCCGAACACAACGTTATATTTATCATAGAGAACATTTGAATATTAAAAAAGAAAAATCACAAATGTTTCATAAATTGTTTTGAGAAAGTCAATACAAATATTATTATTATTATGTATCTGCAAATATTATTGCTATTATTATTATTTCATATGTAAACACCATTTAAAAATTAATTAATATTATGTTAGTGTATGAACATATATAATTTATCATATCAAGTCACATGATTAATTATCTTTCATTAATTTATATTCTTCTCTTAGATATAGAGTTAGAGTATTCGAAGAAACGCCATTTGAAAAAAAAAAAAAAAGAAAAACGCATAAATTTTTACTATGAAAAATTATTTATATAATCCTTATTTTAAAAGGACTTTAGTTTTTATAAATTGTATTTGTTTCACAAAATTCATTGCATAAATGGATCAACCTTCTCGTTTAACCTAAGAATTATGCATATTACATATAAAAATATGTATTAAAAGTTTATAAAAAAATCACGAATTACGGATTGATTATTTAAAGTAAATCGATTAATGAACTAGTCTGCCAAATCTTATTTCTAACCATTAATTTTGTGAATTAGATGAAACAAACCAAAAACTAAAGTAGTTCCTGTATGGTGGTTGCAGAAAATAATTGAGCTGGTGGGGACAAAATTAGGTAATAAGTCAGGTTGAACTCACCCACATTTCATTTCACGTCATTTAACCCTAATTTTTCCTTTCTTCTCCTTTTCTCTTCTTTTTCTTCCCCTTTAAGCAATTGAATTATTTCAACAAATTAATTATAGTTAATTTTTTTCCAACAGCCCAACATTTGTAATTTTGATCTCGAAATTATAATCCTAAATCTTAAATTCTAGACTATAATAAAAAGAAAAAAAATATAATTTTCAACTGAATTATAATAATTACATTTAAATTATTAGCACAACTGGGATTCTCCCTTTTAGTTCTTGTAAGAAACTATATATAATTTATGATGGTACGATAGTATTCCAACACAATGGGAATGATATATGGAATAATCATAGAACAGAGAAGACAATAGCAATGATGGATGGAGCAGGTGTTGGAATGACACTAGCAGTAACAGTAACAGACATGCTTACACCTATAGCACGTTGGCTTTGCATAAACCCTCCTTGGAGATCCAATCAGTGACAGCAAAAGCAGGATGAACAGTACCAGTATTGGCGTGATCAAAGCTGACCAATTCGTCTTCTTTTCTTCAACCACCACCACTTGTTCACGCGTGAAGAGCCACGGTATGCAGAGGAGCATCAAGGCCACGGCCAACATCACAATAACATCTGATGTATGAGTGCTACAACTCCTGCGTTTATAGCAGTAGTAACCCATCCTCTGGAAAAATTTCAGAGATTCTTAGCTGAATCAAGCAGATGATAGCAAGGAAAAGCCTTGCTCCTATACATTTTTATAGAACAACCACTCATCATCACATCCAGACTAATACCCACCTCACAACTTTAGATAGTTGGATGATTGTTGCTCTCACCACTTTTTCTAGTAAGCCATCACATTCAGCAATAATGGTTAAAACATGCACCATCATGTGGGGTCAACTTCATCGTTTCTGTGCCAGTGTTTAATTCAAGTAACTTTTGGAAATTGGACTTTGTTACAGGGACAACCCATTTTATCATGAAAAGGAATTCCGTTTTCATTTTGGCTTTAAACCGCACTGTAATGTGATCCTTATCATCTTCCCTGTGAGGTAGATATTTTATTATGGAAAACTAAGACCATGTACGACCTGATAAGCGTGGGAGAAATATAAAATGATTATTGTGAAAAGTGATTCTCAGTTCCAGAGACTTGCCAGCACTCAAAAGCGACAACAAGAGCATGTCTTACCGACACTACTTTCTATGTATATATTCAACATTTCTTTAATATATGTAATTTCCTAAACAAGATACCAAAGACCCATGATTTTGTCGTGTTTTTAGTCATCGTCTCATTTTTGTATAAAAATCCTGAATTTATGAACAGTATGTATAAAAAAAGATTGAATATATACTGGTTCGATTTTAGCACAGAAATTAATCAGTCGTTTGTGATGTTGTGGCAGACATGAATGGTCATTTGAAGTTTCATCCCTGAAATCCTACTAAAGATTCTGGCAGTCCATCATGTGAAATATTGTACTATCACATTTGTTGGAAA